CCCCGGGACCCCAGCACTCACTCCCCTCAGAGTGAGGGAGAAGGGTGAGCCAGGATATAGGACCACTACCAGACGACTGTGTTCTTCCTCTCTCATCCCCTCTCCCAGAGAGGAAGGCTACAGCAAGGAAAGGTGGTCCCATACCACAAGTTAATAGCTGACATCTCTTGTTGGTTTCTTTCCCAAATTAATTCTCACAAACATCTAAGGAAGAACTTTAGGGGAGGTGTGCTGTTGTCTTTCCAGCTCAAGTAGTTGAAATGAAACAAGTATATAGTGTTGGTCCCAGAGCTAGACTGAGTGACAGTGGGGCTGTCCTGGTCCAGCCGTCAAGGAGCCTCTGAACATGAATGGATATCAGCACATGGTGACATTCTACTCCACCGAAGCCTGTGAATCCATGAACCGTGGACCTGATGGTAGCTTGTCCCCATGCTTAGCCTTTTACTCAAAACACTCCTCTGACATGCGTTAGATGTTAATCATGTGAACATGATTAAAACATTCCCTGCTGGCATAGTCTCAGGTTTAGTTGATTTGAATAAGACATAACCTAGTATTAAAAAACAAATCAAAAACCAAAAAATACTGTCCCTAACAGTGAACTCCAGAATGTCAAGTCCTTTGACAAACACCCTAAATTGAGGGTAAGCTGATCTCATTCTCCTAACAGTCAGAGAAGCAGACCCACGTACCTTTATTATAAATTGAACTGTGAAAGCTTTTTACTCATAATATAAACAATAACCATCAAGTCAATTCATGGCAACCCTTTAATACAGCTCCTCATGTTGTGGTGACACCCCCCCCCAAAATTATTTTCAATGCTACTTCATAACTGTAATTTTGCTACTGTTATGAATGAGTCAACCCCTGTGAAAGGGTCGTTCGACCCCCAAAGGGGTCACGACCCACAGGTTAAGAACCACTGCTTTACAGAAATAGAAAGCCTCATCTTTCTCCAGAGGAGCTGGCTGGTGGTTTAAAACTGCTGACCCTGTGGTTAGCAGCCCAATAAATAACCACTTCACTACCAGAGGGCTCCTCGCTATGTGTGAGAGGTAAGTAAATCCAAACAGCATTATTTCAAGGCCACCAATGACTGAATGCTTACAAAACCAGGGCAATGCCTTAGCAAACACACAAGTCTCTCAATACTAAAATCCTCACAGAGCTGCCAGTTTGGTCTGTCTGTCTGCAACCAAGTCTCATGGGGGGGAGGAGTGGGGGGGGGGGGCGTTCACACACAATTTAAAGGAAACAAGCTCATTGCCACGAGTTGATGCTGAGTCACAGTGACTACCCTGTGGGTTTCCAAGATGTAACTGTTTATAGTAGAAAGTCCGGTCTTTCTCCTGAGGAGTGGTTTCAAACTGCTGGCCATGTAGACTGCAGCACAACACGTAACTACTGCATCGCCAGGGCTCCTTTGAAAGGGGGTGGGGTGCCTGGATATCTACTACCAGGCTTCTAAATCCAATCACCTCCAACCAGGTGCAGGCCATAGGCTTCATGTTCTTTGAGTACACACAGCTAAGACCTCCAGGGCACTCCTCCACACTGGGTTTCCTTTATTATGCCCGCCCCCCCCACACACCTTCCATTTACTCTGGGTCCACTACCCCGGCATTGTACCTGACTTCCTTCTTTTTCACTGCATGATTTGTGCCATTAGGTGCTAAGCTCCCCAGCAGAAAATTACACCAAAAGTCACTCGAGCAAATACACAATATCCAAATCCCTTAGAAAAGTGACGTTGTTTTCAAGTCCATCAGATTTAAATAGAAGGAACCAAACAGAGGATAAGAAAAAAAAGAGCTGAGTAATGGCTCAACTCATTAAATTTCCACTTAATTTAAAATTACGGCCCCTGTGCCCATAGGTCTTTTAATCAGCTTCCCAGGACCTGTTCAGAGCTGCCTGGGATACAGGACTCAAATAACCTGCACATTAGGGACCAATCTGCCTGAGCAGCCTTCGCAAGTCTTTCTCTCAGTCCAAGAGAGGAAATATCAATGGAAACTGATACACTACGGATGACTTTAGCTATCCAAAAGGGCTGCAGAAGGCTATGAATACAAACTCGTGACTTGCTATATTATATTCCAAAAAATTCCCAGCCATTGAGGTAAGAAGATGTGGCAGTATGCTTCTGTCAAGATTTAGGGCCTATGGGCATTTCTATTCTGTCCTATAGGGTCACTATGGGTGGAAATTGGCTTGATGGGAATGTGTAGCTTGTATTTTATATAATCCCTTTACAAAAGCATATTTTCCCTCATTCCACAACTTGGGGGTGATGTCTTTCAATGATTAAATTACTTAATTATCAAGTCAGAAGTTTGCTTCCACACAGTACAAGACAATAAATGACAGACACAGCAATA